TTTGGGGAAATTGGTCCGTGCGCAAAGCATTGTGTGGATTTTTAGACCGCAGAGTCTACACATGTGCAGCCTCGAAATTTCTCCAAACGAAGTACGCCGGGCTCGGTAGATTTCCAAGTATGCTGGACATTGGAACATTACTTCGGCGGCACTCGATGACGTAGTATGCTTAAAATAGTGGCTCTGGAGCAGCTTTACTCGCGATGGAGAAACACCCCATGATACAGCCCACACACTCCTGTTTCTCAGTTGTTGCCACAGCTAAGCATTGTCAAGTTTACTTTGCACTTCATTTAATCTACCATCTCATGTGCATTAGATCACTTTTCCACCTGTAGAAAATCCTGTGTCCAATAATTCATAAACAATGTTCACAACTTTGCACCTGTTAGTCAAAAAACAATACCTGGAAAGGGAGACTCATCATGTCATTTCTTAAGTGCTACAGTGACACATCCACTCGCTGGATTTTCTCTTTTTTGTTATGTAAGGGAGTTTCTGACTTGACCACCCATCTCCTGGGATCCTGTGCAAATGTGGGAAAGCTGTATTTGCAGCTGGCCTTCTCATTTAAGCAGGAAGAGATGAGAGGGGGTCACTACTGCTGTGCTGTTTCTCACATGATCAACTGGCTTTTAAGCTACTTGTATTCCCCGACATGTGAACTTGGTTAGGACAACATTTCACTGAGCAAGCTGTAATTTACAATTCAACAAAACCCTTCTCTTCATTCCCTAACAAGACTTCTCAAATGATAATCTCAACATTAAGACATAAGGTCCATGTTGGAATATTAATGTTATGCTTTTGGTAGTATAAATGTCACTACCTCTAGCGTTTGGAGATATATTATATTTAAATTACATATGTAAGCCACAGTATGTGTATCACACAGTCATGGTAACCGCTTTAAATAAAGCAAGCCAGGCAGGCGGTACAGCCATTTCATTTTCCATTGTGGTGCTAGGAAGAAGGTCCTGATGACACACATTCATGACAGATACATTATCAGAGCTATTCTGGTCCAAGGTTTCAGCAGCGTCCAGATAGCCTGTCTTCATGACCACATAGTATGTTCAGGAATGAATTCAAACTGCATTATCAATACTAAACTAACTAACCTTGTTTAATCTAAGGTTAGTCATTAAACAATCACAACGTTTGAAAGTACCTTTGTAAGTTTAGTACACTAGGTTTGTTTTTTCAAATACAAGGAAAAAAAGGTAACATGTCAACTTTAGTTGGCTCACAGAAAACTTTTGTGATTTTCCAAAATAATGTAATTTTCATACTAAATAAAGTGTGATAAAATAAAATGCCCCTTAAAAACTCATGTCTGAATCATGTTTGTATCATGTATCTAAAATCAAGGCTACATTTGATAGTCCAATGCACAGAAGGCAGATTCCAGTACGCAAATGCAGAAACCTTCTCTCTTCAATCCAGAAAATGTGAAGTAAACTTAATGGATCCTACCATGCAGCCTCTGCTTTAGGCGCTGTACATGTACACCATAATGACCCTGTAGCCCTCTTTGAACGTTGGAGATGGGGAAAAATGAAGATATCAAGTGCCCCAACAGGATGGAGAGTGACAAGAGAGCAGGCCTGAGCATCTGTCTGTGTCAGGATCCAGATTGCAAACACACTTGCAAATCAACACATCCGCACATGTTTTCCCTCGCTCTACATCTCTGTGTAGCACACACTCATTACTGCACTCGCTGTGATTACTCTGGAGGGGATCATTACATTCTTTCATAAAAAGTAACAAATATTTTTTTAGTTGCATTCTGTACAGGCGTTGTTTGCATGCCGTCAGTCATCGTAAGGGCTGGTTTTACTGTATTGCCTTAGGTAGTCATGTATTACATATAGTCCAAGAAGTCTAATTATACCTGACTCCCACGCATCTACACACTGGGAGGTCGCGCGCTAAATGGGCTTTGATACAAGTTGCCGTGGAGACAAACAGAAAGATGTTAAAACCAAACCAAATGTTTGTCCTGTAATCTCACACACAAAATGTGTTGCTGGTTTACATGGCAGACATACAGTAGAGGTTGGGATTATTGCCAAGTGTTAACATTTGATCAGCAATGCATGTGCTTCAAAGTTTAAATATTGCTCAAGCTATTGCTCAAGCTTAATTAAGCAGCTCTCTTATTTTCAAATCATAACGCACAACAAACTGAAACCAGTTAATATTTTTGGCAATTTGATTTGATTTACAGCTTAAATATAAGTTAATCAAATAGTTTAGCATTATTAAACTGCTACAGAACCATTTATCTGCTTGTATGCATGTGAAATGTATAAACCTGCTCTTCTAAAAACATGACAAAGCCCATTCTTGTCATTTTTCTCAAGCCCTGCTTCGAGATTTGCCCCAGCTGGATGAATTAATCCTCTTTCCTATGAAGATGCTGTTAAAAAATGAACAATGACAGCATCCCCTGCATGTCATGGGGCTCAGACAAGCTCTGTAAATCAGAATGATGAAGGCAGAGTTATATGCTGGGTTGCTATTCTCCTCAACGTTACCTCGTGGAGGATTTCTTGAAGCAGTGAGCAATTTAGGGAGGGGTTAAAGCACCGCTACCTACAACAGAGTTTAATTGTCCTACATGTAGCTACAGTTCAGCTAATGTCAGGCCATATTATCTTGGACTGTGTTTTAGGGATATAATGTAGGGGTGTAGAGAGATGAATGAGGCATGATAGCAGTGAGTATGAGTGTTGGAGAGACAGACTTTGAGAGTGTGTATAATTACCTTGTCTGAAGCTGATGCCAGCTTGGTGTTTGAAACGCAGCACAACCACCTCTCAACCCCCCCCTTATCCCTAATTGGTCCATTTCCAAGGCATGAGGGCAGGGCTGCTCTGAAAGCTTTGATCACGGAGACCACACCAGTGTCGATATGTCCCTACCTGAGTGCTTTTGTAGTGGCAGTGCTCGGCAGGGGATTAAGCCATGCTAAACCCACGGAGTGTCTGTCTGTCTGTCTCCCTGCGGCTCTGCATACCTGAATCTGAACCCTAATTACCTGGCAGTTGCTACATTCCTAAAACACGCCTCCACAAACAAAACGTACTGTTGTGTATTGCACGTGTATTTTTTACAAAGGCAGCGGCGTTTCGTAGGTATGCCTTTGTCTCGTGTGGTTTGCGGTGTTAAATGTTATAAGCATTTACAAAATATTTCTGGGTTCCAGCACATTCCAACACACATTTTAATTTGTGTGGGAAGCTAAACGATGTGTGTGCAAGTAGTTACCTGCGAGTGAACACTTGACTTGCGTAATGTCTCCTGAACTAATACTAATTGAGGTAAGTGTTGGGAGCAAGTAGTCGCAGATGCTAAGTCAATCTGAAAATTATACTAACCGCAGAGATGGGTTTAATCTAAAATCATTGATCATGTGTGTTTGACAGCACAAATGGACATTTATAGCTTTGTAAATCACAGATGTGGATTTTTCTGGAAACATTGGACAGTATAGTCTAACATGAAATCATTATAAAATAAAGAGTAAGGCACAGGTGATATTCTGCTCTTATCTTCCTCATCATGTAATACATTTTCTCTGAGAGGAGGTTAAGCCGGCCCGAGCAGCTCCGTCCAAATATGCTGCAGTCAGCTAGTCAAACTCTAAATTAGTGGATCAATCTAGACATGCTCAGTTTGGAAGGCTGGAGTTCATCACGCTAATTGCTGCTTTTGACCTCTCTACACGTTACAGTTAATTGTTCTATTCATTAAACGTTAATTGCTCGCCACACTGCTTCATGCTGGGATGAATAGGGTCTCCACTGTGACTGCTGAGGACGTCCCAAAACCATTATTGGTCTGAGTTTGGTTTCCACATTATTAAAGCTTCAGTTGGGTTTGGACTCCTGTGGCTTCTGCAGAGTAAAGTCTGGTCAAGTTTATATTTGTTTTTGTTAACTTTGCAACACATTCTTCAGTTCTAATCTTACCTAAACTACACAGTGAGGCAACTTAATAGACAATAACGTTTGCCGTGTAAACTGACAATTTGTATTTGTGTTTATAAACCTCAGTGCAAGCAGGTTTTGAGTCATAAAATAAAATGGCAAAAGAAATGCATGGAAATTGACATGCACCCAACAATATAGCACTGAGTGTTTTCCCTCCTGCAGTCTCGTCCCTTAATAATCCACATGTATTGATACATTTTGTACATTTGGATGCTCATAGTCTTCTAAATTCACCATTTGTTAATGTCTAAGATTTGAACTCTTAGTTTTACTTCATCTGCTGCTGTGGAACCTCTACCGCAAATGTCATGTCAGCAGATCTGTAAACCACTGCTCTTTCTAACCAACCCCTGTTTACTTTAATAGCCCTTAAAGTATTCTACTTTGTCTCCCAGACAAATCTGGAAATGCGTAGTGTCTTCTCTGGTCCAACTGTTTTCCATGATGGGATTGGCCTCCAGGGCCTGGCACAATCATCCAAGGGTCTTAGATCACTTTATCCTCAGTTTAGTTTTAGGGTTTGTGCTACACAGTCAATTTTGTTCTTGGCTTGACTTGAATGTGTGAACAAAGTCATCAGAAAGCTGGCCATAGTCATTTCGGTCTCATTGGTAAGCAAAGTATATCTTCACTACAGTGGCCTCAAATGACTCTTACTGAAAGGCGCTTTCGAGTCAAGTGACACATTTCTAATAATCAGCTTTGTTTTAAATAGGATTTGGCTAAATCCTTATTCATTTCGAAATATGGCATTTAGAGCTAAAGAAGGTCATTATAAGCGATAAACATTCTAGTTTACCTCGTTTTACAATTATGGAGAAACAAGGGAAGCTGATACAGGGAGTTTTCTAAGGACAGCTTAGCAAACTATTGCTCAACACTTGTTTTTTAAAATGTTCTAATTGGCCCAGTATAGCAAGAGCAGACTGATAATCTGTCTCTAAAATCTAATGGTCACAGCATTTAAATCACCTCATCGCTATGAATCCACACTGTACAGAGATGATGTCAAAAACAAAAGCATAACGATAAACTGGCCGACTGACAGCCCGCCGTCCAAGCATGAGCGGAGGGGCCATGCGTCGGGAATTTTCTCTGCTCCGCCAAACATCCTCACCCAGTTTCACCTCATTCCCACTTACTCACAGGCAGGGGAGACAAACTGAAATACAAATAGATGGACTGGCAGACTGTCAAGCCAACGGAGGGAGAGAGATAAAGACAGACAGTTGGACAAACACAGAAAAACTAGCCTACACCAACAGAAGCCTGCAGAGATGGATCTAAATGAATTGTCTTTAACAATCCTCTCTCACTTGGGGAATTTTAAAGGAAGCTTTACCACTATCACACGCTATCATACTAATCATATATTTATAGTTACCTCTTTTCATCTGCATGTATAAGGTTGTGTTTGCAGCCTTAAGTGTGATGCAATTACTCTTATCACCATGCTCCAATGCAGTTTAGAGGTGAATTATTAATATAGGAAGCATTAGATCATGAAGCAGTTCATAAACCATGTATGGAGGATCGCTGAGGTTTGAAGATATAGTGACTCTGCGAGTGCTCGTCTTTATGGAGAGAACTGTATCGTGTTAATGGTGCACCTTGCAGGAATTTTCCTTACTTGATTATCTCTTTTTCCGTGAGGGGAAATGCAGCCTGATTTAGGATTATTTTCACGTAGTTTTTGGTTTGTATCCTACTCGTTCTCAAATCTCCATACTGCAGACCACTCAGGAAATGTGTGCCATGGACAGCAGCATGGGAACGCTTGGCATTGAGCGTCTCCCAGGCAGTCTGTATTGTGATATGAGCCTTTGTTATGGTCACTTAGCCATGTCCCTGGCCTTGAGCTGAAATTGTCCCCCCCTCCCTCTCTCCCAGCCCCCTTCTTCAGATGGGAATACACTGTCAGTGCCGAACAATGGGCTGCGGGACCGGGCTTCTTCTCCCGACAGCCCCTGCAGCTCTGATCCCCCGATCCACTACATTTATGGAACAGTTGAATGTGAGCCCACCTACCCCTCTTTAACTGCAACCCCTCCCACTCCTAAGCAAGCAGTGCCCCCATTTCACACGGACTTGGTCAAAACCAAATTCCCAAAAATGCAGTGGATGCCCTAAATGATACACTTTAATTCTCAGGATCCTAAAGTGGAACAAGCATACGTGTAGTTGATTCAGAGAGCCAGATAACCTTGGTAATTCTTCCCTAAAATGACAAAGGTCTTTACTGACACCGGTGGAAGCCTTACTTAGGCTTCTTTGGGAAGTAGACTACAATGCAGCAGTGGAAGTAGAGGGCAGCGATTATGTGTGGAGACGGTCTTCATTGTAATGCAGGAATCCCACAGCCGGTTTTATATCAATTGTTATGTAAAGTGGCCATTCATATTTTACAATCTGCTTGGAACTGAGGTTCTGGTCTGGGCTTTGTGTGGAAATGATATAGTGGAGTGGAAAGGAAGACATGTCAGTAAATATGTTGCTGCTTTGATGCTCTTGTCTTTTTTGTATCCACCTTAAGTACAATACGCCTTAACAAACATATACAAAAACCTCCACTTCCTTTCTTTTTCCACCATCAGCTCTACATTTCTGAAGAACAAAGTTCTATTCCCTCCTTTGCAGCAAATAAATGTAGGGCAGACCCACCATCTTGTTTCTTAAATTTGTTTGTCTAAAAATCAAGCCCTAACCGTGATCATTACCCAGCCTAGTCACAACAGAGTGCACGAAGCTCAAGTGTTCTTGTTGTTGATTAGAGCGAGGCTTCTCCTGTTATCCTAATCAGGATATTGATGATGAACCCTCTTCA